TTGATAATGAATAAACTTATTTGCTGTAAGAGGCAGCTGATTGTTTACTTTGGACGTTTAACATCGTTGATCCTTCAACCTTTTGAAATATTACAACCAGTCCAATACTCATATTTCCGCTCAATCGAAGGGGGCGAGTTTTCGATCTGTACATTGGAGCGAGTAGGTTTTCCTATGTTTATTTCCTAGTACAGATGCGAACGGACAAGAATTTCCTTTGATAATGAATAAACTTATTTGCTGTAAGAGGCAGCTGAATGTTTACTTGGGACATTTAACATCGTTGATCCTTCAACCTTTTGAAATATTACAATCAGTCCAATACTCATATTTCCGCTCAATCGAAGGGGGCGAGTTTTTCGATCTGTACATTGGAGCGAGTAGGTTTTCCTATATTTATTTCCAAGTACAGATGCGAACGGACAAGAATTTCCTTTGATAATTGTTAAGCTAATTTCCTGTAAAAGGCAGGTGAATGTTTACTTTGGACATTAGTCATCGTTGTTCTTTCAACCTTTTGAACCATTACGTCAGTCCACCATGTACAAAATTTACAAGTAATCATTATTTTTCTGATTCCAATTTAATGTGTTCATCTTTTGAATATTTCATTTTTCTGAGTGTACTCAAAATTTAAATTGCATTCCCGATCTAAATCATGTGACAAATACTGTGTATAATATTTTATAATGTTTTTATGCGTATATTTTCTGAATTTTCTTTACATACTTACGTACTTCTATTTTTGAAGTCTATTACTTTTGAAGTTTTTGATAGTATCCTCTTTTTGAATTCATTATAACTTTCTTCGAGAGCACAGACTTACATTGATTTTTGGTTCAAACTTTTGATGTTTGTTTACATATTTTTGAGTGGTTTTGAACTTTGACAGTATTTTGTAGTCTGGATAGTTACATAGATTCGTTGCGATGTATGCCTTGAGGGTCTTGTACTATCCACAGTTTCTTTAATTGAAAGTGTTTTCTTCATATGCATTTTATTTTCTTCTTGAGACTTGTCATATATGCTTTCCGCCTAGTTGCAAATTTGTGCGTATTGATAAACTCTTGAAACCTCTGGCGTATAAGTAAAACTCACTTTTGATATAGTTATTTATGTCTCAGTTCAATTCAATCAGTTCAATTTGATTTGAAGTAATTGTCAATTCCTTCTTGAGATTTTTCATATATGCTTTCAGCCTTTGTGCACATTTGTGCGTATTGCTAAGTCTTGAGCTTGGTTGCGACATTGCTTTCATGTTTCGCTATAGATTTTGAAATATCTGGTGATTTTGCTTTTGCATTATTGCATTTGTTTTGATAGTCTGCTCTCATAATCTTTTTTTTCCGGCTTCTTATTTCTTTCAATTTCTGTCTTGACTTGAAGTAATCGCCCATTCTTATAGATTCAGTATAGTAATTCTCTTCTCATACTTTACACTGGTAAATTATTACAGTTTTTCTAATCTTGTAATATTTCATATTTGAACTTAACTTTCATTTTACAATGATATGGTTATTCTCAGTGTAGACTTTGAAGTGCGCTGATGATATCAGTGATCTACATGAGAATATTCCATAGACTATAGACATTCTTGTCTAGGGCTTTGGAATGCACCTATGGTGACCCTATAAAGTTGTCTTTCTCTCATATTTTTGCTTTAAATCAAAATTCGAATTCTTACCTATCACATTTATTTCTATTTCTTGTTCACTAGATTGTTTTTTTTTTATAACTCCAATTTTGCACCTACATATATCGTAGACTTTTGCATTCAATTTTTGCTTGCGGCATTACTCTCATGTATCATGATTTATTAAAATATCTTGTGATTTTTGCTTCGCTATTTTGCTTTTTACATATGCTCACTTCGTTTCTCATTTATTACTCATGAAACTTTTAATATTTTGCTTACTTTTAAATTTTTTTGAGAACCCTTTATAAAATCATGCTCATATAGCTTTAATATTTCCTTTCACTTTATGATTTTAACACTATTAGATTTACAGTTGCACTTGTGTTGCACTTAGTTTTTTTGGAAATTTATTTTGCTCTTTTCTATATTGTACTTCAAATTTTTTTTTTTGGTCTGGTTCTTATGTTGTCACATGACCCGAAAATTTTGATTGAGCTTACTCTTGAATTTTAGTTCATTGATTGAACTTAAGCTATATTTTGACTTTGAAAATCTTACTTCAATATTTCATGAATGTCTCTTATATACTTTAATTCTCTGAAAATATTTCGAATTATTTTGTAGTCTTACAGACTGCTGGCGCCCGACAATTTTTTTTGTGGAATCAGAACTGCACTTAGTTAACATCTTTTTTGATTAAAATACCTTCGTGATCAAGTTTTCATTGGTTTAGTACTTGTAAATTGTTTTGTTATATAACTGGAATTCTTAATAGAATTTATTAATTTCTTTTGATTTTCATATTTTGAAAATAGTAATGCACAGTTTTTTTATATTGGATATTGGTTTAAAATATCACTGTAGATCATAATCTTTTTGGGTTTGGAGTATTGCGAGATAATCTGGCAATTGTTTTGAGAAAGATTATTATTTTTTTTTAGTACCTCTTATGGTTTAGGTACTTACTTAGTTTTGAAGTTTTTAGTAGTCAGTCGTGCATTTTGGATGCCATTGTGATTCGTGCTTGGACTACTGCTGAAACTTTTGGTTTATTATTTTTCTCGTCTTAGGTATGACGATGTTTTGTGTTTTGGGTTTTTCATCATATGATGATAGTTTTTTTAAGTGCAACTTCACTGTACTTTTCAGCGAGTTGGTGCTATAACCATCCCTCTTGTTTGGTAGACTTGAGGCTATCCCTTTTTCTTCCAATTCTCTTCTAACATTTTTGTTTCTACCTTACTTTTACTAATTGTTATCTGGTCGAATGGTTGTACATTTGTCCTTCCGTGATAACTTTCAATTTCCTAGTAAAAAAAAAAAATTTTTTCTTAAATGCTTCTTCGATTATTTTTTTTTTGGTTAAGTTGGGGCGAGTGTAACGGTTTCACCGTCCGATCGTATTTATTAAATCACTTCTCGATTATCATTTCATTAATCCCATCTCTAGCTTTTTTGCTTGGAAAACTTTCCGCTTGGAGCGCTTGATGCGGAGTTCCTGATCTGCGATCTTCCTCGCGCTTCCTTTTCACCTGAGCCGCCGATCGAACAACGGCTAGAAATTTCTTCTCAGTAGCACAAGGTTATATAGCACCATGTGCTAGAATTTTCTAGAGTGTGTGTCCGTATAGGACAAAAATGGTGAGTTTTATAATACTATACAGTTTTATTGCTGGATCTGCCTGTAGTTTATAGATAATCGATATGTAAGTGATTTATTTCTTGTACGATTTTAAAATATCCATCGAACGTCATTTTCGACTACTTCGATCATTCGCCATAACTTTAATCAAATCAAGGTGGAAATCGATCCACATCGATTTTACCTCTGTGCGCGTATATATATTCATAGTTCAGTGAAATTATAAGTACGTTGATTATGAATATTCGATGATTATGTTTTTATATCAGAAGCATGTGGAGAAATTTTTGATGACCACCATCTTGTTCTACGCTTTTTTTTGCTATTTCATGATTTTATTTTATGAAAGGCATTTCCAATTTTCGGTTTGATTTTATCAAACTATATAATGTAATTCTAACCTAGAAAATCGTTGGTTCTCTTTTGAGGCAGACTGAGATTGGAAATGCCTTGGCCATTAGGGCACGTTGCTAATACACACGGTTCTTTTTCAGATTGGGGCCACCCCCTTTCTCTTTCCCTTTCACTTTGCCTAGCCTTGGCCAATATTTTCACCCATGCATGTACCTTGGCAGCGCCATCGCCTTTAACTTCGCCTACAACTGGTTGTGAAGCCACTATATGGAGGTCACCCCTCATAACTGGGACCTCCCCTTCAAGCCCCTGGCCATCCTGGCTTCAGTCGAGTAAAAATGGACCAGCGAAAGATAAGTCGATAGCGTTATAGCAGCGCCAAAGATGTAAAACTTATTTTGTTATTTTTGTAAAATTGTAATGTAATGAAAATGCTTTTTTTATTAAATAAAATCTGTTAAATTTTTGTGTTCTGTTTGTTCTTCTATCCTCTAGCCATGCCATGGTCGACACACAGCTACACGCCTGTGGATGTCTTCATGCCACCGACTGAGCTACCGGAAGCTAATGTAACCCCCTTTCTGTGATTGTGCAGAAAAGTTGGAATCTTCATTGCATTCCATCTTTTCTGGACTTTTTGCGGAAAGGAAGCGTTACAACACCAGCTGTAGCAGACGAAAAGGACAGAACCATCCAGCGCCAGACCCTGATCATCGAAAGCCAGGCCCAGCAAATAAAGTAGCTGACTGAGACAGTTAGGGATCAAAACAGTAAAATAGACTGCCTGACTACCCAGGTAACGCAGTCAATCAATAATGCAAATTTCAATTCTAAATCTCACAAGGCTGTCAATTTAAAAAGACCTCTTGAAAATTTAACTGACGTGACATCGACCGACGATGAAATACAGAATGACGGATTCATCCAGGCCAAGTCTAGGAAAAGACGCATCGACAAAACGAACGAAACCGACAAGACGGATGACTTCCCACCTCTTCCAAAAGCAAAATCTAAATTCAAATTGACAGTCCCCTCAAAACCTTCTGCTTCATTAAACGTATTAACTTCTTCTACCACTTGTCCTATGACGGTCGATGCAGCGACCACATCTTCTCAATCTTTGGCCACTGCATCGACTGACGGTGCATTATCTCAACAATCTCACGTTGCTGGTGACTTGACCAGCACAGCACCCCGCCAGAGGCGAATCACGCCCGTTGTTTTGCGTGATGCGACCAAGTTGCGACATCTAACCTACACCTTTATAAGCCTAGGCATTAAGATAGAACACGCAGTTGCCGTTGATGCGGGAATCAGGATTTTGCCGAAAACTGAGGATGACTACCGAAGAATCGTTCGCCTGTTCAGGGAGGAGGACGTGCCCCATCATACGTTCCCTCTTCCTTCAGAAAGAAATATTCACGCGATACTCAGAGGCATACCCGCAATGTTTTCGGAACAGGAGATCAAAGGGGAATTAGAACAGAGGGGATATACTTTTCTCGACATTATCCGGCTCAAACGCAGTGGCGGCGCACCCATGCCTTTGGTGGTCGTGATACTGCCCAAGATTGAAAAGTCTCAGCAGGTGTTCAATAAACATGAGCTGCTGGGTTCAGCAATCAGAGTTGAAGTTCGAAAGAACTCTAGACTTATTGGGCAGTGTCACCGCTGCCAAAGGTATGGTCATGCGCAGTCTTACTGCACAGCCCCTCCCAAATGTTTAAAATGTGCTTCCGACCACATGACACATTTATGAGCCCTCACAGGACAAGAGGAGCGAAAGTGTGCGAACTGTGGAGGGGCGCATCCCGCTAACAGTCCCACTTGCAGATTCACCCCCAGGCGAAATCTGGAAGTCATAGCGCAAAGACGCAGCAAGTCATACGCGGAAGCAGCCGTCTCAACATCTTCGGCTGCCCCCTCTGTTCAACGCACTTTAAACACGCAGAATGTGGACCTAGCAACTGCGCTTAGGTGCCTTCAACAAATAATAAGTCCCCAGATTAGCGCCACTCAGGCATTGCAGGCGATCCTTCCGCAGCCATTGAATGGCTAAGTACAATAGACAACCTGCATTTATCATCTGTCAGGTATCTTGGAGTCATCATTGACAAGCGATTGACCTGGCAGAAACATACTGATATTTTGCAAACAAAATTCCAAATAACCTTTCGGCAGCTTTATCCTCTGTTGTGCAGACTTAAGTTTGATCAACAAGATTCGGTTGTATAAAATGGTCAAAGACACAAAATCACTTACGCATGCGAGGCTTGGTGTTTTCTTGCCAAGACGCACATGCAGAGACCGCAAGTCCTGCAAAACAGAACTCTACGCACAATTACTAACGCCCCTTGGTACGTGTCAAATGAGACTATTCACAGAGATCTTGATATCCTATATTTAAGGGATTACGTAAAACAACAGGCGCAGTGGCGTTATAATCAAGTGGAATCGCACATCAACCCTCTGTTGCGTAGACTACACAGTCGAGCAAGTTCGCAAATATTCCAGGACGCGCCTCGCACTGTGATCAAAATTAAATTGTAAATTCAGACCAGCCAAAATTATTTCCGTATACAAAACCGATCAAACTATTTTTTGGAGTTACAAAATAATTCGAGTAGTCAAAGCAATAATGCTTAAGCTATTTCAAATGATTTACTTCTTTTCTTTGCTCTATTTCTTCCTTACTTTCTTTCCTTCTCTCCCTTTTCCGCTTAAACATGTTTGGTATCTGGGTAGCCAGACCTGACAGACTAACAGACCGACGAGACTTTTAACTAAGAGCAAAGGTCCACCGGACCGCTCTGACGAATAATGACGAATAGTAGTCAAGCCAGGTATGTACGCATAAAAATGGAATGAAAAAACAAAGACGCTTACATAGACATAATAGTGGAAATCATTTGTAGACATTATAGGAAGAAGATAGATATTCAAAAAACAAAATAATACTTTAAAAAACTAAAAAACACGCTTTTATAGCTAACCGAACTAACAAGTAGAAAATAATTTTTAATTAGAAAGAGTTTATATTACGGTAGTAGTTGGTCGAACAATCAACCATTAATGACCTCAAAATGAAAGTATAACAAAATTTAAGTTATTAACAGAATAATTCAATTTAGAGTACTACTATGTAAGGAGAGTCATGAAAATGTAGTAAACTGCACCACACGCTTTTTACTCTATTAATAATTTAAATTTTATTATAATTTCAGTTTAAGGTGATTAATTATGATTAATTGTTCGATCATCTACTACAAGTCAAAAAGTTCATATGACCCAATGTCCAAAAGTCAATAGATTTTTTTCTAAATGGCTTTATAGTTTACAACTTTAAATGCTTTATATTGACCACAATCACCACAATCTTACTATTTTTTATAATCTAATCTAAAACGTTTTTATATTGGGTAATTAACAAATAAATGGCATTAAGTATGTCTAGGTTAAGTCAAAATTTGTAGTCAGTAAGTAAATAAGTTTCATTAAATTAAATATTTAAGACACACATGATAACAGCGCGTCGGTCATCGTCACTCTTATCGAAGCGGCAATTGATCGCAAACGGTAACAGTGGTTAGTTATTGTTCGTGTACGTCGTCGTGTTTATTTGTGCAAGTCTACCAAAGACTTCGAGATACAGGAAGTGTTCAGCCCACTAATATTCGCACTCGTGAAAGACAGGTTACTGTAGAGCAGGAGGAACAGATTTTAAATATCGTGGAAATCAATGCAGATATCAGCACTCGGGAATTAGGCCGCCGCGTAGGACTATCGGATACCATAGTCCATAGAATCCTACGTGAACATTTGCTTTATCCCTACCATGTGCAACGAGTGCAGGCCTTGTTACCAAAAAACTATCCTCGCAGACTAACATTCTGTCAGTGGTTTTTGCACAAAAACATTGGAAACCCGGATTCTAGCGACGGATGAATGTACTTTTACGCGAGACGGGATATTAAATTTCCATAATACTCACACGTGGGCCCAAGAAAATCCTCATTCCATTCGGGAAGGTCGTAATGAAGCTTGTGTGGAAAGTGGAGGATGAAATTTTGAACACCTTCTTTAAATACAAAAAAAGTGCAGTGTGGGTTTTAAAAAGAAAAAGAATGTATGTATCAAAATTGTGTTCCCTATGCATAAATCTTTGGAGCAGAGATGTTATCCTAAGGTTTGGAAAATATCTCGTATTACTCCTGTTTTCAAAAAAGGTGACCGAAATAATATTGAAAACTATAGAGCTATTGTGATCCTAAGTAATATTGCTAAAGTATTTGAATCTGTTGTTCACGAAATCATATTCACTCATGTGAAACACATCATCACTCCACATCAGCATGGCTTTTTTCCTGGTAGATCGACTACATCTAATCTTGCATGTTTCAAACAGCATGCTGCTGAAATTTTAGATACTTGCGGACAGATTGACGTTATCTATACGGATTTCTCAAAAGCATTTGACAGACTTGACCATGGAGTACTAATACAGAAGCTTTTAAGATGTGGTATATCACTTGGATTCGCAAATTTCCTCAGATCTTATCTGTTGGTCAGAATACTTTTCGTTGACTACCGTGGTTTTAGGTCTGTCAGTGCTTCTGCGACATCTGGGGTGCCCCAGTTCTCCGTCCTTGGTCCGCTATTATTCGCTATATTTGTGAATGATCTCAGTGGCCAACTAAATTGTTGCAACTCATTGTACGCAGACGACTTGAAATTATTTTCTAGAATTGACACAATTGTCGATTGTGTGAAGCTTCAGGATGAACTAGTACGTCTGTATGAACCGCAAATAAATAAATAAATAAGTAAATAAATAAATGGATTTTTTTAATACGTTCTATAAAGTTTAACACGCCAGGTGAAGCGCTGAGACAGTTGGTAATCCCGTTTTACCCAATATATTAGTAATTAGAATAGCAAGCAATTAGAAATACTCAAAAACTACTAGACCAATCCTCACCAATGTTGTTGTGGTTATTTGGAAGTAAGAAATTTTTGGATTTGAAGAATTTCAAGTAGCTGCGTGAAGCTATCGTCGCATTAGCAAGTGCCAAAACCTACATTTTGCTTCGGTTTTCGGCCATAACTTTTTTGCTATTAATCGGATCTTCTTACGTGTGGTCTCATTTTATAGGTCTCATAAATACAAAAAACCTTATTTGAAAAGTTTTTTCGTTCCTGCCACCACGTTCGATTGAACCTCAATAAACACGTTTTCTCATTCTTTGCTGTCGAATATAAAGTTTTCTTACAAAGATTGGTGCACCTATTTTTTCGTCCATGTTTTGAATGCCCCCTTCAAGAACTTGCCTCAATAAAACCAGACTTTACTGTTATTATGATATAATACGATTAAACTAAATATTATGCATATAATTTTTTTAAAACCCGACTATAAAAACATACATTAAAATATAATAGCATTATCTTATCAATGGTCAAAGAAATTTTTCCATTAATACAACAAAAGTAGTTTCACGTATCGAGTTCAAGCCGTGAAAATCAAATTGCCATGGTGATAGTAAGTATACTAAACTTTCTATTAAATTGTTTTTTAATTGCATAAAGCCTCTCGTAAACGTAAAATCTATTTTACAGGTTCCGACTATATACTCTAAAGTTACAAATTCAAGTTGTATTCAATTTTAAATTTTACATCATCTGCTTACTCAAGTTCAAGCATGTTCTTTGTGTTTTAAAACATGAAAATACGTGGAATTTTTTCGTGAAGTCATTTTATTTTAGTAAGTTGAATAGGTCGAGCCGGTCCTCGCATATCACTTGATATACAGTAATGGACAAAAGTATATAGACAAATTAATATTGTGCTGTATTTCTTTTTTAACTTGTTTTATTAATACACCAACCTGTATATATAATTCGTTATAGAATAATACTCACTCATACATAAATATATTCATTAGACTCCCTTCATAAAAAATTAATTGAAAAAACTGGAACTCCGAGGACAAAAATATATAGACAAAGCACAACCATTTGTGTTAATATTTTGTAGCATAACCATTATTATCAACCACCGCCTGGCATCGTCTCGGCATAGATTGTAGAAGTTTCTTGATATAAGATTCATCAATCTGTCTCCACTTTTGCTCTAAAGCGGTAAAAAGTTCATCCTTGTTTGAATAATTTTTATCTCGTATTTGCTTATCTAAGTATTCCCATAGATTTTCAATGGGCTTTATATCGGGAAACTGTGAAATCCATTTGAGAACTGGTATTTCTTCATCCAGAAAGAATTATCTTGCTGGAAGATTGATCTTAAGGGCATATTGTCTTCCATATAGGGTAACATGACATGCTTTAGTATGTCTGTGTATACAAACTTATCCATAATGCCACCTATTCTATGTAAAGGTCCCATCCCAAACCCCGAAAAGCACCCCCAAACCATAACAGACCCGCCTTCATGTTTGACGGTGGGCAAAGTGTACTTGGGGTTCAATCTTTGTCCACAAGGACGTCTAACGTAATGAACACCATCCGATGCAAACATATGGAACTTGTATTCGTCACTGAAACATACCGTCTTCCAGTCAGAGATGCTCCAATCAAGATGCAACCGTGCAAATTGTAATCGGTCCTTACGGTTTTTCCTCGAGATTAACGACTTCTTACTTGGGCGACGTGCAAATAACTTCAAATCATTTAATCTTCTACTTATAGTTTTCGTAGAAACCCTGACAATTCCTTTTGTCTCGATTTCGGCTTTTATTTGTCTTGGGGTTTTAAAGGGATGTTTGGAAGAAATTACTTTTATTAATCTAACTAATCTAGCATTGAGTTTTCTAGGCCGACCATTTCTCTTAGAGGCTCCCAAGATTCCATAATTGTTTATATTTGTTTAATATTGCCCAAACTACTTTACGCTTCAGCTTCAAATTTTTGTCAGTGTCGACTTCACGTTGACCATCTTTGTATAACCCAATGATCTTAGTTTTCACATCAAGGAAATTTCTGAACCACGCGGCATGGTCTTAACATCACTCAACTTACTTGATGAACACAAACTAATCCTCTTCTGACACGAAATTGTACTAAACTAGTGTTGAACAGAATTTGTCTACATATTTTTGGAATTTAGTTTTTCCATTAATAACGCATTTGTTTATGGAGAATGAAGTATGAATTCGTTTTCTAAAGGTATTTAGGTAAATATTCATATTTGTCTATATACTTTTGACCATTACTGTATGTGTAAATTGTTAACATCCAATACTTAACTTGAGCTTGACTTGATGTGAAGCCATGTGGATCGAAAATCAAGTCAAGTCGTGAATCGCTAGCCACAGCGTCAGTTCAGTACAGTTGCCTTGACAATATACGAGTATATCATTTACCTGACTTCTAGGTGTCATTTCGTTTATTTTTTCTTTAACTTTTAGTAGGTCTAGTAGAGTGAAGAGCTCCAAATACAGTAGTCAATAGTATTTTCGATTTCTTTGAAACATAGTGTCCTGGAGCACGGTAAAGTAAGAAAATATTCTCAAAAAGCTTAGTAAACGGTCCTTTGAAGTGATTACATTTATTACATGTATCACCCGAGTGGCAGTTAACAAACATAAATATCGATGTAAACATCCAGTCGGTTGACATTACAACATACCAAACCGGAAGGTTTTTAACGATTCACAAGTAGCATGGAAAATGAATGCCCCCCAATTCAATTTGTATTAGATAGCATTATCTTATCATGTAATAAAAATAACATTAATAGATTTTGTTCTAAAATTTCACGAAATCCGGACTTGACATAAACAATTGTACTCACATCTTTTGTGTACATTGAACCTTCACGTCTATAAGAATGTAAAAATCATGAGACGTAGACTAAATTTCCATGGTAACAGCAGATACAAACATTCGACAAGCATCTTTGACGATAATAGTTTAAGCTGCCATGTACTCGTATAGTCTCTTGTTAGCAAGGTGAAAAATTACTTTAAAATAAACTTTGATCAAATACTCTTCAGCGAAAAGGTTTAAGTTTTAATGGCCTCCTTCATATTCACAGTTTTCTACTGTTCCGTGTCGGCGCTCTATTTTGAGGTTATGTCAGAAATATCTATCTGCATCAAGTTGTTCATGACTTTGATTTATATCGTTTTATCAGCCTGAAATCTCCTACGATTCAAAAATAAAACATATCTTCACAATAGGAGAAAAGACTGTGAAAATCAAGGAAGCCATGCAGGCGTTCGGCAATTGGACGGCTTTTTGGCGAAAGAAACCAACCCAGAAAAACAAGTTTTGCACAATTAGGTTCATCAGTTTTGACATTGATAACAAGTTCATTTCAGACCAAACACGATTTTAATTAATGGCATACTAAAGGCTTTAAATATGTGTATGGATCTTTTTACAGTAAATGGTAAAGCTCGTAATAGTTTATTTTCCTAAAATCTAGATTTTTCATATTTAGTGGGTTGGTTCCTTTCTGCAAAAAGCCGTCCAATTGTATGAACGACAAAACGCATATACATAGGAGACGATCAACAGAACAGGAAAGTTCCTAGGGATCTTGTTATTCAGAATGATTCGAAAACCTTAAAAAAATGCTGTCTGGGGTGCATACAGAAAATAGAGTAGAGTAGATCGAAATATTGTTTTTCATCTACAAGTTTTCTCAGATGTGTTGTGATTGTAAGGTATTTTTCGGGCAAAAAACATTTGTCCTGGAATATTCTGTTCAATTTATTGATAAGACAAACATCTTTTGATACTGAATCCTTGAAAGGAGTGACTTCAAATATTTCAGTATGTTTGAAAACTACCAGACCCTGAATTTTTAAATGACGAGAATTTGCGTCAATAATTTTACGAGGGATGTCTTTTAAGTTCTGCATATAGAAACATAGTAGGCCGCGCGGATCGGACGTCAGTACTGAAGCTTAACCTCACTCTATAGTAAACTTAAATTCAAAGTTTCACAATAATACGTGCAGTGTTCTCACTACAGTGTCACCAAGTCATTAGAAAAATGGAACTCAACCGAGAACATTTTCGCGCCATAATTTATTACAACTTTCAGAGACAATTGGTGAGTTACTGTCTGTTTTCGGCAACGAAGCGCCACATCAGTCGACAATTTCCCGTTAGTATGAAGAATTCAAACGTGGAAGGGTGAGTCTTAGCGACGATCCCAGGGTGGGTGCACCAAAAACGGCAGTCAGGAAAACGTAGATGCTGTGCGCAAACTCATCATTGAAGTTAGACATGTGACATATCGCGAGATTGAGGCGTCCTTGAAGATCTCAAAGACCTCAATTCAAAAAATTTTACATGAAGAATTAGGAGTAAGAAAATTAGCTTCTCGTTGACTTAAGAGCAGAAAGCAGCCAGGGTTAATTGGTTTCAAAAAACGCTTTACCGTTTCAATTCCGGAAACTCAAAAAATCTGTACAGCATTGCTGGTGGTGATGAATCGTGGATTTACTGTTATGAACCAGAAAATAAACGACAGTCGGCTGTTTGGGTGTTCCAAGGTGAAGAAAAGCCAACAAAAGTCATCCGTTCTCGAAGTGTTTCGAAAAAGATCGTCGCGACATTTATGTCTAAAGCGGGTCATATTGCAACAATTCCTCTTAATGAGCAAAGAGCTGTTACTGCGGATTGGTATACCACCATTTGTTTGCCAAAAGTCATCACCGGGCTTCGAAAGATCAACCCCGAAAGAAGAATCATCCTCCACCAAGACAATGCAAGCTCGCGCACAGCCCAACAAACAAGGCAGTTTTAACGGAAGAAAACGTGGAATTATTGGACCATCCTCCATATAGTCCCGACCTAAGCCCTAACGATTTCTTTACTTTCCCGAAAATTAAAAACAGACTGCGTGGTCAAAGGTTCCAGTCACCAGAAGAACCAGTTGACGGATTCAAAAATGCCGTTTTGGATCTGCCAGCAAACGAGTGGAATAAATGCTTCGAAAATTGGTTCGAGCGCGTCAGATGTGTATTAATCTTCGTGGAGAATACTTCGAAAAAAATAGAGTAATTTAAAACTACCTAGCGTGTTGTTTTATTTCCATATGCAAAACTTAAAAGACATCCCTCGTATATATGAAGGGTACAGGGGAAAAAGATGAATGTCACAAATTTGGTGCTCTGCAGTTAGAACAGACAACATGATGTCTTAACGAAGCACAGTCCCATGATGTATTGAAGACACGCAAAAACAATGGCAGTTCGTAGTTATACCCAAATGAAAAATCACCGTGCAGGGAAAAGAAGATAAATGTCACAGCCGTTGTATGAAAAAAGATGAACGACCACTGATCGTCACCGAAACAATTTACATACACCAATCTGCGACGAAAGAAATAAACTCTAAGTAATCATTTTTAAGCAGTTACCATTAATTTTCTTTTGTTAGTCCTATATTCTTTCGGCCAAAGATTTTTTGGTCAATGTTTTTTTCCCGTCCCAGCTAAAGAAATACCTACGTATAGTCATAATTCTGCGTTTGAGCTATTGAGGTTAGAAAATCCCCTTTTTCTTATGTTCTAGGCCTTGTGTAATAAATTTCTTCTCATATTAGAACAGACTGTACGACAAACGCACTTTGCATTTTGCTGATTAATCAAACCTTAGATTTTACAGGGTGTCGTAACGACGAATGGCTCATCTCTAGCCTCAATGTTTCAAAAAAGTTGAATGCAGGCATGGACCCTAACACATAAAAAATGTTAATAATCATAAGGAGAATCTCAAAATAAAAAGAATTTTCCATTAATAAATGTTTGATGTGGTTTCACTTTCAGCTCAGAAAATATTTTTATTCAAAATTTAGCTTTTTTCAATTTCCTATAAGGGGCTGTTCAAGTATTACGTGAGCACTATGGGGGGCGGGGGGGTCTTTGCTTTGCTTTGGATGACATGGGGGGTAGGGGAGTCTAGATGATGATTACGTCATCGGTAGTTATTTACTTTTTTACACGAATGGCAACCCTCACATTGTCTTTGCTTGAAAACGAAACGCATTTTCGGGGATTCCCGCAAATAATGCATACGTTTAGTGAACAGCGCGCGGTAATTCCTGTACTCGCTTTAGAACCGAGTAGGGGAATTACCGCGCGGTGTTCACTTGTCTAAATTTCCTCTATCAGTATATTGTTTCATTTGGATACTATAGCGAGTAGACGTATGGTAAACATAGTAAAGCAAATTAACATTTGTGTTACCACTGTTTCCATTAGCCAAAGTTTAATGTTTAAATAAGATTTCGTTTCACATAGACAAATCCAAGTTATACCAAAAATTGTTTGAAAGTTTTAAAAAATCTCATACAAGTACGAAAGTACAAAATGTACAAAAGTTAGTTAACGAAGTCTGGCGAAATTACAAATTACAAGCAAAATCCGACAAGCAACCAGATATTATTGTATCTAAGAGAATCGAAGAAGAATTGCAAGCGGCGCCTAAGAATAAATCCAATCTACTACATTTTTTTTCTGAGATGAGTGACGAAATCATTTTAGGTACCTATGAGTACTAGAAATATTAGAAATCACCAAAAAGTTTCTCTTTACTGAATAGAATAGAGGTAATATTCATTATATTATAGATTTATTTCTTATGATTGATTCCGTCAATTGGTCACAAAGTACAGGATGTTAGTTTTATACATACAGGTATATACAGAAAACTAACACCCTGTATTTGGTGGCCGGAACGAATTTCTCGTTTAAACATATTAGATTTAAAGCCATAGGGTTTTATATTTACCATATATATTGCCATACTTTGTATTTATGTAGCCTAATCAGAGAATCTTTAGCAGAAGCCATAGAAAGTTTTTATTTTTATTCAACCTATAAACCTGCATAAAAAACACAAATTATACAGCCAGGTTCAAATATTAAAAAATAGTAAGAAGATAAAATAAAACCAGGTAATGAATCACAACAGCAATGCGAAATTAATGAAAATATAGATAAACAGAGAGCAAAACCTTTCAGGAAGCTCTAGTCGAAAAAAATCTGAATGCTTTGTATTCTGCCAGAGATACTATGCCAAGCCATGCCGAAGTTGATCATTTTTCAAATTATACTTAGAACGTTATAATTATAATATTAAAAAAAACAATACATTAATTGACAAATGTTTACGTAAGCATGGTGGGACGGGGTAAGAGCTTTGCTTACTCTTGCTGACAAGGAGGATGTGGGGGTAGATAATTGTAATAAATCTGCTTATGTGATACTTGAACGGCCCCTAATAAAGAATCGACCAACCCTGTACAACGAGTCTAGGAGTCTTTAAACTTTTAAATTCAGTTTTCTCAAAACTTGTATTTTGTGACATTAAATCTTTTTTCGTCTGTACCCTTGATATCCTGTCAATGCCTGTTGCAGGAAAGCATACCTATTAAAAACGTAAGATCTGAATTGTTCTCTTCATTCTGCCCATCATTTATTGCCTGACGTAGAAATAGCGGACATCCTCATCATCAAATCTAACGACCCAATTGTTGTTTGCCCACGTTTTTCCGAGTGCTGTTTTCGTTGGTGATCAATACGAGGGATGTCACACAGTCGACAATTCCCCGTTGGTATGGAGAAACGGACCAAAAACGGCAGTCACCCAGGAAAACGTCGATGCTGTGCGCAAACTCATCATTGAAGATAGACATGTGACATATCGCGAGATGGAGGCGTCGTTGAAGATATCAAAGACCTCAATTCAAAAAAATTTACATAAAGAATTAGGAGTAAGAAAATTAGTTTCTCGTTGGATACCCTACCTGTTGACTGAAGAGCAAAAAGCATCTAGGGTTAATTGGTGTCAAAAAACGCTTGTCCGTTTCAATTCCGGAAACTCAAAAAATGTGTACAGCATTGTTAGTGGTGATGAATCATGGATTCACTGTTATGAAGCAGAAAATAAACGACAATCTGCTGTTTTGGTGTTCCAAGGTGAAGAAAAGCCAAAAAAGGTCATCCGTTCTCGAAGTGTTTCGAAAAAGATGGTCGCGACATTTGCGTCAAAAGCGGGTCATATTGCAACAATTCCTCTTAATGAGCAAAGAACTGTTACTGCAGATTGGTATACCACCATTTGTTTGCCAAAAGTCATCACCGAGCTTCGCAAAATCAACCCCGAAAGAAGAATCATTCTCCACCAAGACAATGCAAGCTCGCACACAGCCCAAAAAACAACGCAGTAGTTAACGGAAGAAAACGTGCAATTATTGGACCGTCCTCCATCCAGTCCCGATCTAAGTCCTAACTTTCCCAAAAATTAAAAACAGACTGCGTGGTCAAAGGTTCCAGTCACCAGAAGAAGCAGTTGACGCGTTCAAAAATGCCGTTTTGGATCTGTCAGCACTCGAGTGGAATAAGTGCTTCAAAAACTGGTTCGAGTGCATGCAGATGTGTATTAATCTTCGTGGAGAATACTTCGAAAAACAATAAAGTCATTTAAAACTACCTACCGTGTTGTTTTATTTCCATATACAAAACTTAACAGACATCCCTCGTATAACGATAAGCTTTTGTCTTTGATGTAATTTTTAGATTGACGTAGATCATAATAATTTTGCCATTTTATTGGGGGGCATCAAATACACGTCTGCCAATTAACATAGCTTACAAAAATTCAAATCATCGGAAGCAAGCGCCTTTTGAAAACATTGACACATTTCAGCTTGAAATAATTTAGAGATTCGAGAAAATTTGCCATTACTCTCTTTACTATTTCATCTGTAGACTCACAACTATTCACCTTCATGATAGCCATAGATATTGATGAAAATGCAAAAAAACTACAACCAAGAAGGACTTATTCATAAATAAAGACTTACCCCAGACCGAATGTATCTGTGACAAACCGCCAGCCGCTTACTCTCACTGACCTAAGATATACTAGTCTCGCGGAACAAATGCCAAACGACCAACAGACCGGTTAAAAAAATTCGCGCACTATGCACATTATGAAGTGCCGTAGATCATAGTTTTGCTTTTTTGATAGCTCGTATTCTGACAGTATAGCACGACAAAAACAAACCTACATCTATCAATAAACATCAACATGTTGCTTTTTGCAAAATATTCAGTTCAACAACACATTTGAACAGAATAGTTTGAAATTTGAGCGAGCTTAAAATTATTCACTTTATAGTTGCATCTGTAGAATCGCAACTCTTTGCATCCATCGCAAGATATTTTGCTATAATTATGTAACAAACTTTGTTTTGAATAAGACACTTGCTCTTACTGGCCTAAAACTCTAGACCAGTGGTCGCCAACCTTTTCAGTGTGTTGAGTGAGATAATTTTGGAATAAACACCTAGTCACAAGCAATGTAAGACAACTTAAATGAAATTATACACAGTTGTATGCGACATGCATGAGTTTATTTGACTGATACTAATACATACTAATAAACTTAAATAAACTAATAACTAATACATACTACATGACTACAACCATTAACACCAATCGTAGGTGTTTAAAAAATAAACAAAAATTTTCGTCAGCTACAATTGCACATACGATTTGATAAAGGTAAATAAAAATAAAAAAGGCAATGCACTATTTTAAACACATGCATGACCAAATAAAAAATGCGTATTCAATGAGAAGCCTGACGCTCACACTCACTGATAATTTTTTCAATGTTTGGAGTACAATCTGATACCGCCATTTGAATACAATTATCCAAATGTTCATCTGTAAGTCGATTGCGGTATTGGTTTTTAATAAACTTCATATTTGAAAAAGAAGATTCATACAAATAGGTTGAACTAAATAACGCTTTTACTTTTAAGGGAACACGACATAAAA